GACGGGGTCCCATACTGCTGCCAACCACTTCCAGGTCCAGATGTATGGGCCTGTATCAAAACTCTGACACCAAGGAAGAAACCAGCATGCCCCAATGTAACCTATGGCCGTGATGGGCCATACCTGAGTGTTCACATCAAGAACAGCGTCGGGCGTGCCGATGCTGTTCTGCCTAACCATTGTACGAACGCTGACAGGCGCGTCGGTTCATCACGACGTCTGTCGGGATGGAATGGAATGCCATGACCGGCAGACGACGCCTGCGCGTGGCGCCATTGACGGATAGGGCCACGACGTGGAGCTGCCCCTGTTGACATCTACAGGGTCGCGTGGGGCCCGCATGAAGGAGAAGAAGGACCCGGCGATCCTGAAGAACTTCTTCTCCCTCTCATTCTTCTCTTTTTCTCCGCTGTAACACGTGCTTTCCCTTGGCCTATAAAAAGGAAAAGCTGAACGTCCCATGAAGGGGATCGACCCATCGAGGACCGAGCGAATCACCCCGAATCAATTAGAACACGAGATAAACACACAAGAACATGACACGAACACACGGCTGAGCAGCGATCGAGCTCTCAGCACCCGTTCACTCTTTCCACCAGAGACTTGGGATCATTTCCCTTTCTCGCCCATTTGTACCCCTACTACAAACTTGCAGTGCTAGTAACACGAGCAGCAGCAACAAATTAGACGCAGAGACTTTTTGCCTGAATCAGTATAAACATCGTGTACTCTATGCACACCATCCAAGCCAAACGCGTAATATTAGAAATTTAGTCATCGGTGGACGACACCGTGGTGTCTCGCATGAGGCGCGATCCAGACTCCACAGGTCGACGAAGCTGCTCGTGGAGACGGAGAAGATGATCCCAAAACATCCTTCCATCCACAGCCTAAACTTTTATAAGCCACGACGCCCGGAGACGTACAACAACAGATCGAGCCAGGGCAGGGGGCAGTTGCATTGCAGCCCGCTGGGTTGGCTGGGCCTATGAGCCAGGAAACATACAGGCCCACAGTGTTGTATACTCCCAAGTCCCACATACGAGCTGGGCTCTACCCATACAATCACCCCCTACTCGACGCGCGTGCGTCTTTGCGACGGACCACGACGACGGGGCGCCGCAAACAAGGCCTCCTTCTGGCTTCCGCCGAGGCCTTTCTCTCGCCGAGAGGTGTCTCACCTCCCTCCTCCATCCGCGCCCGCTGCTGGTACCTGACCGGCGTGGCGGTGGTCCAGCACTTGGGATCAGTTTCTTTGTTTGCCGGACTCCGATGAGTAACCTAGCCTACCTTGATCGGCAGGGCGGATTGAGGAATTGAGTCCAGCTTTTTCCTAGTTCTTTCGCGGATTTCGATTTCTGCATGGTACATTGGTGCCTCGCGAACTCCATATAATTGATCCACCCGTGGTTCGGTCAGGCTGAACGTTGAAGTCCATCGAGAACAATGGGGCGAACGGTGCCCTCAGATGAGGAAGGTATGCGGGTTTTTTTCACCGATTTCTACCATTTCTGGTGGTTTGTGTGCGTTACTGATGGAAATTGGTGGTTTTGTTGGAACCCTAGACGATGAGATCGAGGTCGACGAGGAGGAGGATCCACGGACCTCAATCGGTGGGGATGATGGCGACGACGAGGGAGGTCAGAATTTTTCTCGCGATTTCTTCCTGGTGTTGGTTCGCACGGGTGACGTGGGCGGTGTAGGTAGTCTGCTTGCTCCCCACTAGAGCATCTACAAGAGTTCTCTAATTTTTTCTTCTAAAAACTTGTAGTTTGGCAACTCCTAAAAAGATATTAGAAGGGAAAAAGATAGTCATCTCCAAGATTTTTTAATAAATGGCATCTAAAAATCAAATTTGATGCCCACATTATTTTTTTCTGGCTTGTTGTGTTGTTTTGTCGCGGCCGGCCACAGCAGTCACAGCCTACAGGCTGCCTCGCAAGGTCGGTTCAATCATGGCTGCTGAGAAATCTCTGGTGCAAAGAGAATTAGAAGATTCTTCATCAGACAACGATGATTGTCTCATCATGTCAGCAGCTGCAATTGTTGAAACATATTCAAATAAAAAAGGAAGACACGGTGGTTCTGTTCCAGGGCATAAAAGTTATTTACCGAGATAGAGAAGGCGGACACCAAAGGATGTTTCAAGATTACTTGGCTGATGATCCGACATATGGCCCAAATTTATTCCGTCGGAGGTTCGTGCGCATTCACATGTGATATGATCACTAGTACGCTAAGTAATTATTCTAACATTTATTTTATTTTTTAATTTCAGGTACAGGATGAGTCGGGACATTTTCGTACGCATAATGAATGCTGTAGAATCATACGATGACTACTTTGTGCAAAAAAGGAGTGCAACCAATGTTCTTGGATTAAGTTGCTTCCAGAAAGTCACAGTAGCATTTCGTATGCTAACATATGGAGTTTCAGCTGATGCTACGGATGAGTATGTTCGCATTGGAGAAAGTACCGTAATTGAGAGCCTACGTAGGTTCGTTGCTGTAGTTGTTGATTTATTTGAAGAAGAATACCTGAGATATCATAATGAGGCTGACACAACACGCTTACTGGCACTCGGTGAGCAAAATGGTTTTCCTGGTATGTTGGGGTCCATCGATTGTATGCATTGGGCGTGGAAGAATTGTCCTATAGAGTGGCATGGGCCAGTACAAGGGGCATATGGAGGAGCCCACTATTATTTTGGAGGCTGTTGCTTCCAACGATCTTTGGATATGACGTGCCTTTTTTGGAATGCCTGGGTCTCATAATGATATCAATGTGCTTCACCGGTCTCCTTTATTTGCTAAGCTGGCAGAGGGCAAAGCTCCTGAGGTGAATTATACCATAAATGGTCATGATTATGCGATGAGTTATTATCTAGCCGATGGTATATACCCATCATGGGCTACTTTAGTGAAGTCCATCTCTCAGCCTATGGGGAACAAGAACAAATATTTTGTCAAAGCACAGGAAGCAACGAGGAAGGATGTCGAAAGAGCTTTTGGGGTTCTGCAATCAAGGTTCGCCATTGTTCGAGGAGCAGCGCGTTTATGGGACACGGAGACACTGGGCAACATCATGAAAGCTTGTGTCATTATGCACAATATGATTGTCGAAGATGAGGGAGTCATTGACCCTACTGAGCGGTTCGACCATGGTGGCCAAAATGTGGAACCTTCTCATATGAGTAATCGCACCCTCGATGAATTCATTGAAGCGCATAAAAGGATCAGAGACAAGGAAATACACCACCAGTTAAAAGCAGACCTCATCGAGCACCTCTGGCAGCATTTTCCTGATAAATATTAAGTTCATAGGACTTCTATGTATTTATTAGCACTTCCAATTGCAATCAGTACTTTGTAAACAATTTTCTATTCTATTGAATAAGATTAGTGCACTTGTGTCATGTAATTTAAATTTTTATTGCTTCCAATCTCTTTCAGTAGTGTTTAGGTGTCAATTATCAATCATGAGTGGTCCAAATCCACACAGTAAATTCAAGTGTGTGCTGTTATTTCACTTTGCCCAGATACCATGCATCAGTGTAATTCAACATTCATTTGATGTCATGTCATAACTTGGAACCGATCGATCGATTTTACATATATCCTGAATGATGACTATCTGTCATGCAGTGGTAGTTGCCGGCACAGTGCCATGCACGACGGCTCCATGCAGCCGGCCATTTATACGTATAAAATAAAACAAAGGTTCACGGAATGACAAGATAAAAATAGTTGGCTGTGGAAATAAAATGAAAGGAACTACATCTAATTGGCCAGACGACGAGCAACAATCTTCTGCTGCATAACCGTGTAATACTGTTGCTGCGGCGGGGTCAGGGCGCTAATGTCCATTGCCATTATTTTTCTTCCTTTTCGATTATGTCATTTTCCACCTTCCATAATTCAGCTTCTACCTTTTTTTCTTCTAATGACAGACGCCTTTTCTCTAGCTCAAGTGAAGCCATGAGCCTCTCCTCTTTCTTCTTCTCTTTCTCCATGTCAAATGCCTCCTTCTTCGCCCACATTTTGTCTAAAGCCTCCATGCAAGCTTCACCTCCTCGCCTTAGAGCATCTTTTGCCTTCTTCTGTCCCTGTGGTCTCTTTCGGGCTTCGGACTCTGGAGGTGCAATCTCAGTGACATCTTCAGTGATGTTGACTTGTACATTCGTGGGAGTGGAGTCTGGGCGAACCTTCTTTTTCTTGTTATCGGCTTGCTTCATCTCTGCCAGTTCCCTCCTCTTGGCCTTTCACTTCTCTTCATCCTTCAAAATGTTCCAGCACTGCATGAGAGTGAATGTCTTCTCACCGTTCATTCCTTTGAACATAGTTAATGCTTCAGAAACCTGCAAACATATGTGTTTATTAAATATCAACGTGTAAGATTACTGAAATAAGAAAAAGAAGTACCTTGTCTTGAATGGTTTTTCCACTTTGATTTCTATGGTCAATCGCATCATAGCAAGCACAATACTTGTTGACATTCTCCAAAATATACATCCATTTATGCATTAGTGAACTCTCTGTTCGTCTTGCAAATGACTTTCTACGCCAAAAGGAGGAATGAGACTGATTAGCACCTTGCACGGGATCTTTGCTGACATTCAACCAAGCCGAGACAACAATTTCATCTTCGTCCGGAATGAAATTTTTTTGCCTCTTGGTGTTTGGCCTTGGAGCGCGTGGGCGTTTATTACCACCAGCACTAGACTGCACTTCTACAACTTCAGCACCTGCTACTGCCTGCACTTCATCTTCTTCAACACCAGCTCCTACCTGCACATCCTCGTATGCATGCGTTTCCTGTGTCATGGGAAAGCTAAACTCGTCCAAAGAACGAACACCCTCAAATCCCGTGACCAAGTCAGTCCAATATCCACCACCGGACATTGCAACAAGCCTGCAAATATGGACAAAGAAATCATTACCAAATGCTCCTCTGTTAGTATTTCCCTTTCTTAATCATGCAAAATCATTACGAAATGACCCATGACTCATGGTGCTTGGGTTCTGGACGGCATTGTCGTTTGCAACGCTGCACGCGCGTCAAGTCAGATAGAGCGGCAAACACAGCCATAGGAAGGAGGACCGAGCAGCGGACGGGGAAGCCCACGACGACGTCACCACATCCCACGACGACGGCGACGAGGACAGAGCACACGAGAATACCACAAAGACGAAAAGCAGATCGGAGGGAGAGGCCACGGACCGATCGTATGTACCTCGGCATCTAGCAGTAGCGGGGTCGAACCTCTTCTGGACGCCGACGGAGGAGCGGCTTCCTTCGTATGTCTCCGAGATCCGATGCAATTGCGATGAACGAGCGCGCCAAGGACCAATTCGTGGCAAAAGGAGCGGCGCCAAATTGATGCCGCGCGGGAAGCCGCCGATTTGCGCAACGCTGCGAGTGCGGAAAGATACGCGCGCCTGGGGTCAGTTTACCAAGTGCCTAAAAATTAGGACAAGATATTAGTAACTGTTGGAGAGAGATTTTTTCTCTTGTTTCTAAAAACCAAGGATTAGGAGTGGGTTTAGAGAACTCTTGGAGATGCTCTTAGGGAGTAGTTTCCCTTCCTATTTTCAAATTATTCAGTCTGTCTGTTATTTTGCGTTGCTATTGAAATGGGGATTGTAGTACTCCTTTTGTTTTTTATTAGCTTCAATTATGATTTCGTCTGGGGTTAGTGAAGTAACAACTGGATAAATCTGTTGATGTGCAGAGGATGGTCTAGACGAGTATGAGAATGATAGCTTCATAGCAGACTCTGATGATGAGGAAGAAAATGTGGGAGGAGAGGAAGTAGAACAGAAGAGCAATGATGAGGGTCAAAAAAAGAAAAGGAAAAAGAAAAGGTACTTGCAATTTGTTCCTGCTAGAAATAGATGTAATATAGTCTATTGTGTACATTGTCCTGAAATGTATGAGATTACCCAGGGAATCAGAAGACTTCATGCTTGATGAGGATGACTATATGTTGCTCGAGGATAATAATGTCACCGGCATCAGTCGGCCAAAGCCAGTATGTTTTTATTCTCCTGTCCTTTTCTGGTGTGTGTGTGTGCGCGCGCGCGCGCGCGCGTGTTTATGAAGAATACTCATTTTGTCTTGTTGTAGGGAAACAAGTTTAAGCGCTTGAAGAAGGCCGGGAAGGAATCTGAAATGGATTAGCACTCTGGTTTTTCAGATGATGATGGAACAGGGACAAAAGACAGTGGCAACGGGAGAGGTGAGTACTGTTTATTTGGTGACCATCGAGATAGCTGGACCAGAAGATTCCCTAGCGTCTTTTTTTTATTCCTGTTATTCCTGGACGTGGTTGAAACTATTTTTCAGTCAAATCCAATTAATTCCAATTCTATTTCCTCAGATGCTGTGCCTTTTGAGGACTACGAGGATGACCAGCAGGCAGAGGAAACTGAGGAGCTTGGTAATTACGAAGATGATTTGGGAGGTTTCATTGTGGATGATGATGAAATTGATGGGAATGGCCAAGTTGTAAGGTGTGATTCGTTGTGTTTCTATCATTCACCAACCAGTTCCATGTCTTTGGCACTTTGCAAAATTACATATTACTGTGTTCACTCCAAGTAATGTGTACAATGGCATATACTTGTAGAAGGATGAAGTTTAAAAAGAAGGTACCACGACAAGCCGCAGGTGTATCATCATCTGCTCTACAAGAGGCCCAAGACATATTTGGTGAGGTTGATGAGTTGTTAGCACGAAGAAAGCAAGGGCTTGAGAGGGAGGCTTCTAACTCAGGTGAGTTGAGAGGGAAGAGGCTTGAAGACGAGTTTGAGCCATTTATTCTTGAAGAGAAGTATATGACAACAAAAGATGGGCAAATAAAAGAAAATGAATGGCCTGAGAGGGTGCAGGTATGTACCAGCTAACTTGATTTTCACTAAATATTGATTTAGTTTAAGACCATATAATTAGTTTCTTTTTCTTTATGACAGTTGTCTTATGAGTTGACTGGCGATCCTCCAACGGATAACACGATGATAGAGGAAGAAAGTTTATGGATACACAGCCAACTAACTGGCGATGGGTTTCTGTTCTTTTTCGGTGATGAATTGAACAAGGATATTGACCAGAAGGACATTGCTAACGTTTTGACCATGCTGCATGTCAAAAAATTTGAAGTATGCAAATTTTGTGCAAATCTGCTTCACAATTTATTATGCTTGCTCGTCTGACTTAGCCTTTGTTACCTGTCAGATTCCATTCATTGCAATGTACAGAAAGGAGAAATGTTCAAGCCTGCTAAAAAACCTTGATTCTTATCAGGGTAATGAATATGATGTGCCCAAAATGAGGTGGCATAAGGTAAGTATTCTTCATGACAAATTGGTTCCTCTCCCTGAACTGACCAACTATTTGCAATTACTGACGCAAATCTTCTAACAGCTGCTCTGGGCAGTTCAGACCTTAGACAGAAAATGGCTACTTCTTCAGAAGCGCAAGGTTGCTTTAGAGTTGTACTATGAGAAACGATTTGATGATGAGAAACAGAGGATAGAAGATGTCACAAGGCAGGAACTTAACAGGCAACTTTATAATTCTATCATTGATGCGCTAAAGGATGCTAAATCTGAGAAAGAGGTGGAGGATGTTGATGCAAAGTTCAATTTACATTTTCCTCCTGGTGAAGTTGAAGGACAATTCAAACGTCCAAAAAGGAAATCCTTGTACAGGATCTGTCACAACGCAGGGTTATGGGAGGTTGCCAACCAATTTGGGCACAGTTCTGAGCAATTTGGTCACCATCTAACATTAACAAAAATACCTGTATGTGATCTATGTTGACACTTATTTTTAGAACAATGCTTCCTGTTTTTTTGACGTAAGAATTCTGCCTGTGCAACCTACCCATTGTTTGCATATATTTTAATGCCCTAGAAAATTCTTTTATACAAAAAATCATTCCAAGTTTGACACTTTACGTGTAATATGATTTTTCTGGATGTTGGTGAGCATGATAGCAGGAAAGATTCTCCTGAAGTGGTTGCTGCAAATTTCACATGTGCGATGTTTGAAAGGGCACAAGATGTTCTTCGCGGTGCGAGACACATGGTATTTAGGCCTTGTTTGGCATGGCTCCACTCCTAAACTCCAGCAACTCCATTAAAAAATCCAGCAAAACACCCTAACTCTAAAACTCCATAGAGTTGTCAACTCCATGGAGCTGTAGTGCAAATAGAGGTGGAGTTTTGGAGCACCTCTTTTGCTGCTCTAGAACCCTCTTTTTTGAACCTCCTCCTGGAGTTAATGAGTAATTACCCACCAATGCCACTGGTTACAGAAAAAAACGTTTCGATTCTATTCTCCAAGTCTCGCCGCGCATCACATCTTCCCAGTCCCGCGCATCACATCTTCCCAGTCCAGCGCATTTAGGGTTTCTGCCGCCGCCAGGCAGACCGGCGGCCGCCGTCCACCCCCACTGCCGGCCGGCCGAGCCCCGCACCCGGCCGCCCTAGGCCCGCCGCTGGTCTCCTAGCCCCACCCGGCCGCCTAGCTCCTCCTCCCGCCACGCCTTCACGAGGGCCGCCGCCTGCCGCTGAAGCCCCGACGCCGGAGATCCCCCGCCGGTCGCAGCTCCCCACCGACGGCCGCAGAGGCCCGCCGCTGGTCTCCTAGCCCCGCCCGACCGCCTAGCTCCGCCTCCCGCCACGTCTGCACGAGGCCCGCCGCCTGCCGCAGAAGCCCCGACGCCGGCCGCATCCTCCCGCCGCCGGAGATCCCCCGCCAACTGCGCTTGGCTTCACGGAGATCTTGATGGAGGAAGATATAACTGCTGTTGGCTTTGCGGAGGGCCTCGGCGTCATCTTCGTCACGACAAGTGCTGGCGTCTTCGCGATTAACCTGGAGTCAGGCCAAGTCAAGAAGATGTCCGGCAGAAGGCCCGTCCCTGACGTTGTCATTCCTTACATGAGCTTCTATACTCCAGGTAATTTCTAGTAGCCCTGTACAGCATTCTTGCTTAGTTGTGATTTTCAGCAATTTGTCACAAAAAAACTGGGTTTGACTGGATACTCAACAGAATTGAGGTTATGAATGCAGAATGCTATCAAATCTAATATGATCTAAGTCAGTCTCTAACTTAGATAGTACTTGAAACTGGCTAGATACTGTTGATCCAAATCTGAGCTATGGCATGGTTATGAGTTTATCAATTGTCTCTTTTCAGATCATGCTACGGGCTGACCACCAGTACCATGATGAGAACACTGGGATCCATTCATTCCATGATGATGAACCTTCTGTTGGTGCATTGGCTTATGGCAGACATGATGCTTTAAGTGCTTTGGTTTTAGTTGACTATAAGCAAGCAATGAGTTGGAGTGTGATCGTGGTCAATTACTTGTCTCCATTCCTGTTGAATCCTTAGGATCGTGGACTGAAATCTGTGTCAGGTTAACATTCCAGTTTTCCAAATTGTTTGCATATGCTTGGTAAGGGAACTTGTGGAACTGATAGATGAATCCACCCTTTTTCCTGCAGTGAACATCTGCCGTTTGCTATACAATCAAGAATGATGCTAACGGAATGTATCCATCGTGACTTGACTGATGTTTCGTGACCACACAACTTGTATCTGCGTTTGTCAAGTTATCAAGCACATGTGCAGCTTACTTCCTAAACTTATATATATCCTCCAGCATACATCACATATATATATTACTGAAAAGACATTACCTAGCCAGTTTCATGAATGACAGCTGTACAGGAAAAATCGTTACTGAATATGTTACTGAGTCCACCCCAATTTCCAAAAAGTTGCTACAGTACCTGTCACATCGAATGTTTGCGGCCCGTGTATGGAGCATTAAATGTAGACGAAAAGAAAAACTAATTGCACAGTTTGGTGGGAAATTGCGAGACGAACGTTTTGAGCCTAATTAGTCCATGTTTGAACACTATTTACCAAATAAAAACGAAGGTGCTACAGTAGCCCCAAAATCCAAATTTCGCGAACTAAACAAGTGCTGATATTGTTGAAGAAAACTTACATATATTACTGGAAATACATCAGCAATGTACCAGCAACATTTGAAGAAGACTCGTGACTTATGCAGCTCCTCTTCATCTTTTCACGGTAGTTGCCACAGATCGATGACAGTCAAACGAAAGTGTGCCTTCTAAAATCTTCTTGGCATAGTACAACAGTAGTACTTCACTGCATGTACTTTCATTTCATATTTGTGAGAAGTAGTTTAAATCGAACTAGGGGCAAGAATGGTAATCTACCCTTAAACTCCTCTTTTCTGGAGCTGGGACACCCTCCCAGCCAAACACCTCCATCAGACAACTCCAACTCCACCCAGAGCTGGCTCCACCAGGAGTTCTGGAGTGGAGCAGCTCTACCCAGAGTTGGAGTCATGCCAAACAGGGCCTTAATAGACCTCAAAATATTGACCATTTTTTGTAGGGCACAAAACTTTAGTTGATTGATTTGAGCTGACAACAACATTCCATGTCCCCTTGTTTCTTCTTTGTTATCAGGCAGCAGTTGAGATAAGTCGTGAGCCAATTGTAAGAAAGCATATTCGAGGCATCTTCATGAATAAAGCAGTTGTGTCAACATGTCCCACACCTGAGGGCAATACGTCATAGATCCATATCATCAACTATCGGGTGTTAAGTGGTTGAGAGAAAACCCACTTGATAAGTTTGTAGATGCACAGTGGCTTCTTATTCAGAAAGCAGAACAAGATAAGCTTCTCAAGGTTACTGTAAAATTGCTAGAAGATGCTAAGAATGAACTGATGTCTGATGCACGTGAGAATTATCTAAGTGACTGTGTCAGCAAGTCTGCGCAGTTGTGGGATGAGCAACGAAAGATGATACTAGATGATGCCTTCTTCAGTTTCCTTCTTCCATCAATGGAGAAGGAGGCTCGATCACTGTTGACAGCAAAAGCTAAACATTGGCTCCATATGAAATATGGGAAACAGTTGTGGAACAAGGTAACTGTTGCTCCTTGGAAGGAGGAGGATGCTGACATTGATTTGGATGACGAATCAGAGTTGAGAGTTATGGCCTGCTGCTCGGGTCCTGGGAAGCCATCAATCACCTTTGTAATGTTAGATTCATCAGGAGAATTGGTTGATGTTATTATTAGATTGATCTCTAATTCTAAATTGGGCCAAACGGCCCAATTGGTCCTTTGATCCGCGTCCTGATCGGGGGCGCCCAGCCCACTATGGCCGGAGGGCCCCTGTCACACTGCGCAATATATAAAGGTGGGGGCCGGCGGCTTTGAGTACGAGGTTCGCCGAGCTACAGTTCTTCACCGAAATCCCTAATCCGATCTAGAGGGTGCGCAGCCAGTGACGAGAAGCTCCACTGCCTCGCCGCCACTGAACTGCGCCACCGGACTACGTCACCGGACTCCACTGCCTTCGCCGACCCGCCTCCACCGGACCGTGTCACCTACGACCACTACACGGCACCACTGCCTTCACCGACTCCATGGCGGACGCGAGCGGATCCTCCTCCAAGGGCACAGACGGTCAGCCCTTTCCATCCCTTCCTCTCCCTTTAGATCTAGTAGTTCAAAGTTCTAGGGTGTGTTCATCATGTTTATAGTAAGATGTACCCGCTAGATCTACGGCTAAGGTCATGTTCTTCTTACCAATGGTACCAGAGCCAGTTCTTGTAGGGTGTAGATCTAGGTTGGGGTAGAAAACTAAAAAGAAATAGGAGAGAAACAGGAACAGAGGGTTCGATCCATTTCGGATTGAAACCCTAACCCTAATCGGGAAAGAAACCGAGATGCAGAGAGTTCAACCGAACCCTAACCCGTCGGGGAAGAAGAACAGTGACTCAACCCGTACCCTAACCAGTCGGGGAAGATGAACAGTAACCCTAACCCCAAATCGGTTCAACTCCGAGAAGAAAAGAAAGAAGATCCAAAAGAGAAGGGGAAAGGGGAAGAGCTTGCAAGGCGGCTTACCTAACGAAACCCTAACCCTAACTCGCGACGAGAAAGGGGAAGAGAGTGAACAGACAAGGGTCAGGAGCTCCTACCTAGGATCCGCCCGCTCTGTCTCCACCGTCGGTCGTCGCGTGGACACTGCGCAGGAAGTCAACCTCAGCCGCCGGGATGGGAGAAGCGCCGCCGCATGATCTCTGCCTCGGGCTCGGGCCAAAGGGCACCACCGTGGTGCCGCTCGATGGTGCCGCGCGCGGCTCCGGCCTTACGCGTGCGTCAGCGAGGGGTGCCACAGCGGAGCCGCCATCCCCGCGTCGCATCCGCTTTGAGCTCTCGGCTGCGCTCTGTCGCTCGCGGGACTGAGAGAGAGAAAGGGCGAAGAGAAGTGAGCTAGGGTTTTGGGAGCCGGCGCCGCATCGCTGTTTTGATCCGCCGAGACGCGCGATCGGGCGTCCGATCTGCATCGACGGTGTGGAAGCAACGGGCCAGAGGCCGACCCAGGCGGGCGCGAGCACGCAAGGTAGGCCGGGCCGCTTTCTTGGTCGGGCCGAAGGAACAGTACTGATTTGAGTCCATTTTCCTTTTCTTTTTCCAGTAAATCGTTATTTCCTGGAAAATGGATAAATGGCTCAAAGAAAATAGAAAAGAGACTTTTCCTGTGGGCAAAATTCATTAAATTGAATTAGTTTTTCTGCTGCTAAAGAAATTGTTTATTCTCCAGTTATTTTGAACCAACGTGATATTTAATTGGAGAAAAAGAGATTTTAACATGATTATGATGTTGTTATTTTCTGACCAACGTTGTTAATAACAATATCGTAATTTTAATGATTTTATGCATTATTTTTATTTCTGCCCAACGATGATGTAGATTTAATATATAAACAGTTATATGTTTTAATTTTGACCAACGTTAGAATCAAGGCATGCAATTATTGTTATTATTTATGTTCTCACTCTATATGAATTGTGTTTTCAGGCGGATACAACTTGATGGGTTATATCAAAGAGATCCCCACTCTTAAAGGTGACAACTACACGGAGTGGAAGAAAAAGATTGACCTGGCCTTCATCTTGGTTGAGGTGGACTGGGTAGTCACCTCACCGTGTCCCACTGAGCCTATGGCACCGGTGAGGGAGACAAACGAGGCTGATACCGCTTGGGCAACTAGAGAGAGGGATTTTGAATCCCAAAAGATGTCCTATGACCTTGAGCATAGGAAGTGGGTCACTACCAACCAGAAATGTTTGACTGTAATAAAGGACATGATTGAGCCTGCAATTGTCGGCTCTATCCCAGAGTGTGACACGATCACCAAGTATCTTGATAGAATAAAGAGTCAATTCACTAGCTCTTCAAAGACATATACTACCCAGCTGATAAAGCAGCTGGTGACAGAGAGGTACTCTGAAAATGGTAGCATAAGAGAGCACATACTAAGGATGAGCAATTTGGCATCCAAGCTAAAACCAATGGATCTGGCTCTCAAGGAAGAGTTCCTTATCCATCTGATTTTTCTTCCTTGCCAAAGGAATTTGACACTTTTATTATCAACTACAACATACAGCCCGAGAAGTGGGACTTAGAGAGGCTCATGGCTATGTGTGTGCAAGAGGAGGAGAGAATGAAAGCTGCCAATGGTGGCACTATCAATTATGTGAAAGACAACAAGAAAAATAATAATAATGCTAACTCCTCCTCAAAGTCAAAGGGAAAGGGTCCCATGCTGCATCAGCCTTAGTAGAACAAGTTCACAGTAGAGAAAGACCAGTGTCTCTATTGCAAGAAGACGGGACATTATAAAAAAGATTGTCCCGATTACTTAAAGATGATCATGGCAAAGAAAGGTGAGAACATTATTACGTTCATAAATGAATCCCTATATGTACAGTATTCGAAATCTACTTGGTGGATTGACTCAGGTGCAACTGTTTATGTTGCTAATTCCTTACAGGGATTTCGTTCGATGAGGACTACGCAAAGAAGAGAAAAACACGTTAAAGTTGCAAATGGAGTCCGAGCAGATGTTGAAGCCGTTGGCGATCTTTCCCTAGAGCTTGCTGATGGCTTCACACTTTTACTTAGAGATGTACTTTATGTTCTCTCTTTACAGAGAAACTTGATTAGTGTTTCATGCTTGGACAATGATGGATATAATTGCCATTTTGAAAATGGCAAATGTAAGATAACATTTAATAATGTGTTGGTCTTGCTATCTTACAAAATGAGCTTTATTTGTTATCACTGCGTGATGATGTGAATGTTGTATGCGATGATGGGAACATTGTGTGCGACAATAAGAATGTATCCTCGTTTGCAGATATAAACAAAAAACGAAAGAGAGCTCACGATGCGTCGTCATAATTATGGCACTGTTGTTTAGGCCATATTTCGAGGGGGAGAATAGAAAGACTAGTTAAGAATGATATTCTTCCTCCATTAGAGTTCTCAGATGTAGAACAATGCAGAGAATGCATAAAAGGAATATATGTAAAGAAAATTAAGAAAGATGTCATACGAAGTGCAGGAATTTTACAGATTATTCACACAGACATCTGTGGTCCATTTCCTGTAAAGAGTGTGGATGGTTATGATTCGTTCATAACATTCACAGATGATTACTCCTGTTATGGCTACATTTATCCAATCAAAGAAAGAACAGAAGTATTGGATAAATTTAAGATATTTAAGGCAGAAGTTGAAAACCAAGATAATTTAAAGATTAAGATAGTCAGGTCCAACCGTGGGGGGAGTACTACGATCGGCATACCCCATATGGCCAAGTTCCTAGACCTTTTGCAAGGTTCTTACAGGAGAATGGCATAGTAGCCCAGTATTCTACACCGGGCGAACCTCAGCAGAATGGAGTAGCTGAAAGACGCAATCATACCCTGATGGATATGGTGCGCAGTATGATAAGTTACTCCACCTTACCGTTGAGCCTGTGGATGGAGGCATTAAAAACCGCCATTTATATTCTTAATAGAGTACCAAGTAAGTCGGTGACCAAAACACCGTATGAGTTGTGGACAGGAAGAGTACCCTCACTAAACCACTTACGTGTGTGGGGGAGTCCTGTTGAGGCTAAAGTATTTAACCCAAACATTGGGAAGCTAGATCCCAAAACAGTAAGTTACCATTTCATTAGCTACCCAGAAAAGTCAAAAAGTTTTCGTTTCTACTGTCCAGACAGACATACAAAGTTTGTAGAAACGAGACACGCTGTCTTCCTAGAGGATGAAATGATGAGGGAGAGCATGGTAGCTCGAGAAATTGACCTTGAAGAGAAGCGGGTGTATGCACCCACTCCGATGATTCATGAACCATTTTTCTTACTACCTGTTGTCGCTGCACCGATAGTGTAAGATACTGTGGTGCCAGCACCTGTTGTTATTCCACCTGTGTCCATAATGAATGACGATGAGGAACCTGTTCTTTAGGATCCTGTAGAACCTATTGCCACACATGAGGGGGAGCAACAACAGCCTCAAACAGAAGATGTGCTAAATGTGGAGGCCCCTAGAAGGTCTCAAAGAGTTAGAAAATCAGCTGTTTCTGCTGACTATGAACTATACAACACTGATGAATTTCAAATGGAGGATGATCCCACCTCATTTGAAGAAGCCATGAGAAGTTATCATTCATCAAAGTGGCTTGAGGCCATAGAAGATGAAATGAAATCTATGAATGCCAATAAAGTTTGGGACTTGAAAATAATTACTAAAGAAGCCAAAACAGTAGGCTGTAAATGGATCTACAAAACAAAACTTAACTCTCAAGGGAATATAGAGAGATATAAAGCGCGACTTGTGGCAAAAGGCTTTACGCAAAGAGAATGGATTGATTACAATGAGACCTTTTCTCTAGTCTCATGTAAGGATTCCTTCAAAATCATAATGGCATTAGTGGCACATTATGATTTAGAATTACATCAGATGGATGTAAAGATGACATTTCTCAACGGGGACTTGGAGGAAAATGTTTACATGGCACAACCGAAAGGTTTTGTCATGGAAGGAAAAGAATGAATGGGATGCCGCCTAAAGAAATCCATTTATGGATTAAAACAAGCTTCAAGACAGTGATACTTGAAGTTTGATCAGATAATAAGGAATTTTAGGTTTAAAGAGAATGTAGAGGACAATTGTGTCTATGCAAAGTTTAAGAATGAGAAGTTTATCTTCCTTGTCCTGTATGTGGATGATATCTTACTTGCTAGTAGTGATGTCAGTCTACTACCGGAGACAAAGAAGTTTTTGTCCTTAAAATTTGATACGAAAGATCTTGGTGAAGCTTCGTTCGTTCTAGGGATCGAGATAGAGGTAAAGGGGTATTAGGACTGTCACAAAAGGCATACATAGAAAAGATCTTAAAGAAATTCAATATGCACAAATGTAGTCCCTCACCTGCTCCTATAGTCAAGGACGACAGATGTGGGGATTTTTAATGCCCCAGGAATCAGTATGAGATCGATCAAATGAAAACGGTTCCATATGCTTTAGCTGTCGGAAGCTTGCAATATGCTCAAGTATGTACGCGCCCTGACTTGGCATTTGTTACCGGGTTACTTAGCAGATTTCAGAGCAATCCTAAAACAGAACACTGGAAATTAGTAAAGAAAGTCTTGCGTTATTTGTAAGAAACAAAAAACCTCATGATGACGTATAGAAGATCAGATTCACTCCATATAGTGGGATATTCAGATTCTGATTATGCGGGAGATGATAGAAAAACCACGTCTAGATATGTATTCACTCTCGCAGGGGGAGCTATTTCATGGAAAAGCTCAAAGCAAATCGTCACTACATCGTTCACAATGTATGCCGAGTTTGTAGCGTGTTATGAGGCAACGGGGCAGGTGAACTGGCTAAAGAAGTTCATACCCGGTTTGAAGGTGGTTGACGACATCTATAGACCACTTAAGTTATACTACGATAATAATCCGGCAGTACAATATGCTCACAATAATAAGTCAAGTGGTGCTGCCAAATACATTGACAAAAAGTATTATGTTGTGAAAGATAAAGTCCGGGATCATGTCATAAGTCTTGAGCATATAAGTACCGAAAAGATGCTCACGGATCCGCTTACAAAAGGCTTACCACCCAACATATTCAGAGAACATGTAGCCAGCATGGGTTTAAGGGAAAGCCTATAATTCCTGGACAAACGAAGGCCCAAAGTTAAGTATCTATTTCAGAACAGAGTGGTGTGTTGTAGTTGTTAAATCTATCGGCAATTGACCGTGACGATGAAACATGCTCTATGCGCTAATCTGTAATGGAATAAACAAAAGTAAATGATATGAAATTGAAAGATGGTAGGAGATCAAGGGGGAGATTGTTAGATTGATCTCTAATCTCAAACTGGGCCCAACGGCCTAGTTGGGCCTTTGATCCGTGCCCTGATCGGGGGCGCCCAGCCCACTATGGCTGGATGGCCCCTGTCACACTGCTCAATATATAGAGGTGGGGGCCGGCGGCTCTGAGTACAAGGTTCGCTGAGCTACAGTTCCCCACCGAAATCCCTAATCCGATCTAGAGGGTGCGCAGCCAATGACGGGAAGCTCCACTGCCTCGCCGCCACCGAACTGCGCCACCGGACTGCGTCACCGGACTCCACTGCCTTCGCCGACCCGCCGCCACCGGACCGTGTCACCTATGACCACTGCCTTCACCGACTCCATGGCGGACGCGAGCGGATCCTCCTCCAAGGGCACAGACGGTCAGCCCTTTCCATCCCTTCCTCTCCCTCTAGATCTAGTAGTTCAAAGTTCTAGGGTGTGTTCATCATGTTTATAGTAAGATGTACCCGCTAGATCTACGGCTAAGGTCATGTTCTTCTTAACAGTTATACATGTGGGTTCTATCAGTAACAGGTCTCAAGGTGTCACCGAGGAGCATAAGAAGAAGAATGGTCAGCAACGACAACAACTTTTAAAGTTTATGACTGATCATCAACCACATGTTGTGTGTGTAGGAGCATCAAACTACAATTGCAGACAACTCAAGGATGATATTTATGAGGTATTATTCTGTCTTATTTGTGGGTATACAAATTCATTTCTAGTCACATTAGAACATGTAATATGTTTCTTCCAGACTTATATAGTCGCACCTGCACAAAGGTCTTTAAGTTGGCTGTTGGCCCCAGACTGATGAGTTTCATATTACCATGCTGTTGTACAATCCGGCCACTTTATGAACAGGGTGTTATTGTCAGCATTTGCAGAGGATTTATAGCATCTGGTTTTATAGTTTTGTTATCTCCCGAGTTCACCGTGCTGTTGCACAACATAGTATCAGGCTATCAGCTATTGTCTTTGCTGCACACAGTTATTATTATTATTATTATGGTTTTGTTACTCTCCTGATTTCACCTTGTAGGATGTCACAATCTTGTTCCTTAGATGCATCAAGGCAACCCATTAGGTTTTATGAAGCATATCAGATTCAACTGCTGGGTGAACGTATTTCCAGTGCTTGTGTGTATATAATAGCTATTTGGTTAAATTTTCAGTTATTCTGTCTGTTTGGACTGTCCTGCAACAGTACTAGGTGGAAGTTCATTTTTAAGCTTTATAATGCTCTCATTGCTAACATTAAATTGGCATTTATCCTTGTGACAGGTTATTTACAAGGGAATCGTAGAAGATAATCCCAGAGATGTTATCCCTCACATGAAAAATCTTAGCATTATCTATGGTGATGAATCTGTGCCTCGCTTGTATGAGAACTCTCGAATATCTTCGGATCAACTTCCTGGCCACTCAGGTATAGTAGTTATAGTAGCAACATGGTGATCTACTGTTACTTCTGTTCAGTAACTTACAAACAGCTGTTACCTCAATCATTATACAGGCATTGTGAAGAGGGCTGTGGCACTTGGACGTTACCTTCAGAATCCATTGGCAATGATTGCTACACTATGTGGACCTGGAAAAGAGATACTTTCTTGGAAACTGCATGCGCTGGAACAGTTTCTCACTCCTGATGAGAAGTATGAAGTTGCTGAGCAAGTAATGGTTGATGCAACAAATCAGATAGGTTTCGATATTAATCTTGCTTCTAGCCATGAGTGGCATTTTTCAACATTACAATTTATTTCTGGCCTGGGTCCACGCAAAGCTTCAGCTTTGAAAAAAGATCTGGTAAGAGAGGGATCAATTTTTAGCCGCAAGGATCTTGTAGAACCTCTAGGCAGGAAAGTATTCATGAATGCTTCTGGGTTTTTACGTGTAAGACGGAGTGGTGCAGCTGCAGCCAGTGCTCAAATCCATATGCTCGAGGATACAAGGATCCATCCTGAATCATATGTATTAGCAAAAAAAACTAGCTAAGGATATCTATGCCGAGGATGCACCACATGAAATGAATGAAATGGATGATGACGAGCAAGAATTGGCGATTGAGCACGTTAGAAAAATGCCACATATGCTTGGACTTGTATGTATTGAGGAGTATATAAAGAGCATTCTAGAAGAATACCGAAAAAAGGAAACACTGTGTGATATACAGAAGGAGCTGATGTATGGTTTTTATGATTGGAGGACCCCCTATCTTGAGCCAAGACGAGACCAGGAATTTTGGATGCTTTCTGGTGAAACTGAGGATACCATATCTGTGGGAAGGACTGTTCAAGTAACCGTTTGCAATATACAAGAGAACAAAATAATTTGCATGTTTGATTCTGGTTTGAAAGCCATAGTTATGGCAGATGACTATTCTGATGAGGGTTTTGATCCAGAATCATCACAGTTACATGAAGGTGATGTATTAACTGGCAAAATTTGGAATTTGGATAAAAATAGGTTCATGGTTCACCTAACCTGCAAGGCTAGTGAAATGAGGAAAATACCATTGTCCAGACGTCATCAGGATCCTTATTATCATGAACAAGCTATGACCTCACAGACTGCACAAGATAAGGCTCGAAAGCAAAAGGAACTTGCAAAGAAGCATTTCCAGCCCCGGATGATTGTTCATCCCCACTTCAAGAACCTGACAGCAGAAGCAGCCATGCAGGTTTCCTTCCTTGTTAAACTCAATCCACTCTGCTTCTCTTCTGTTATGCTACGCCAGTCTTATCTAAACTCTTCTCTTGAAACAGTTTTTATCAGATAAAGAGCCTGGTGAAAAGGTGATCCGAGCAAGTTCTAGGGGACCATCATTTTTTACTCTAACCCTAAAAATTGCTGATGGTATTTATGCACACAAGGAAATATCTGAAGGTGGAAAGGATCACAAAGATAACATGCTTGGCCTGGGAAAAACACTAACAATTAACAACGAAACTTTTGGAGACCTCTATGAGGTTGGTGCACCTGATATATACACTCCCCTGTCTTCTCATTTATTTTGTCCGCTTCAGTTCTCTACATTCATTTCTTGCGATAACATTTTGCTGCATAACTGGGCCTTCCTCTTACGACCTAATTTTCATATAATATACAGGTTATTGACGGATTTGTGGACCCATTGGTAGGACACCTCAAAAGCATGCTCTCTTGCCGTAAATTTTGGATGGGGTTGCAAAATGAGGTTGATGAGATGTTAAGGGCAGAGAAGGCAGAGAATCCCATGAAAATAACATATAGTTTTGGCATGTCTTATGAACATCCTGGAACCTTTATATTGTCATATATTAGGGGTACAAATCCACATCACGAGTATGTCGGATTATACCCAAAGGGCTTCAGATTCAGGAAGAGAGACTTTGACAACATTGACCGTCTTGTGTCCTCTTTCCAGAAGAATATTGACAAACCACCACCTGATGCTGGACCAACAACAACAATAACAACAACAAAGCCTTTAAGTTCCAAACAAGTTGGGGTAGGCTAGAGTTGAAACCCAGCAGAAGCCACCTGATGCTGGACCATCAATACAAAATGTTGCTGCAATGGTGCCTATGAAAAACTCAGCTTGTGGTTCTGGTGGTGGTGCTGGTGATGCAAATGATGGTTGGAGGAGAGATGGTAATTATAAGGATAGATCTTTATCTGGAACTGGAAGATCAGGTCAGTTATTAATGAGCTTATGATGTTGAACAAGTTTATATGCATTTTTTTGATATGGTAATCTTTGAGATGCTTTGCATTTTTAGATATGGTAATAATACTTTCACCCAGTAGAGCATTATTATTGTTCTCATGATTGGCTAGTGTCCATTGAATATAGTGTTGGCATACTTGTAGTGAATAGTGATCCCCATGGCACTTTGTGCTTTGTGAGTTAAAAAGCCATATCTGAAATAGAAGTGATATTCATCTTGTTTATTTCTTGTATGAGTCTGAAATATTTCTTTCTTGTGTTTCTCTTTCGGTTTTCTGTTAGTAGTTTGCTTTCCAGACTGTCAACATGTTGCTGGTATCGCATATCAAATGCATGGGTTAACTCCGATCACTGACCGCTGCCCCCGCGTCGCCCCCACGCAGGCGACATGGGAGGCGACCCAAACCCTAGCCGCCTCTCTTCCTTCCCTCCCTCTCTCCAGCCGCGCCGTCGCCGGAGTAGGCCGCCGGCAAGGCCGTGCAACTTGCCGTGAGGGCGGCGGCGAGGCTCGTCTTCGCGGTGGAAGCTGCGACGGTCGGGGACGAGCTCATGTCCTGGGGCTCGGCGTGGTCGCTAGGGCAGGTGGTGGCGCCGGCGTCTCCAGCGCCGGTCTGGGGTTGCCTCCTCACTTCGGCGTCCGGATCCGGCGGTCCGACGGCCGGATTCGCGCGGATCTCCGGCGGGCCGCGCCTGGGCGGGCGCTGGGTAGCGGTGGCGGCGGCTCCTTCCAAGAAGCCACGGATCCGCGGGTCCGGCGCCCGTGGTGGCAGCTGCGTCGCCCAGGGCCGGGTCTCTTGCTCTTCCTCGCGCTTGGTGGCGGCGTGCGTAGTAGCGGGGCGGCGGGGCGTGCCCTCGCGCGAGCCGCGTGGGGCTCGGCGGGGCCGCCTGCTGCGGCTACGGTGCTGGCTAGTGCCCGTGCAGGCGCCGGGCGGGGGCGGGGGCCCTTTCTTCCTCCTCCGCTTCCCCCTTTCCTCCTCGGCCTTGGCGTGGAGGTGGCGGCGCTAGCGGGGGTCACTGGGTCTGGCCCCCTGATGGCCAGATCCGGTCCCCCCAGGGCAGGGGGCGGCGCCCGAGGTGGGGCATGCGCCTGTCGGAGGCTGGCGGAGGTCGGCAGCGTCGACGGCGGGTGCTAGTGCCGGCGACGACGGCTAGCGACGGCTTCGACGTGCGGCAGGGTAACGCGCGTGGCAGGGTAAGTCCACCTCTGCATGTTGCCCGGTCGGAGGGGGTGGCGGCCGACGCAGCTGTGCGGCTGCTGTGAGTAGCCGGCGCGTCGAAGCCCCTCTAGAAGGACTTCTGCGGGATGGCGGTGACGACGACGGTGGCGACAGACTACGGTACGGCATCTTGGCTCGACGTTTGTGCTAGGGGCACCTCGGGCGAAAGCCTTGGCGACGGCGACGCCTGTGGGCGCCGTTTTCCTTGTTGGGGGCGTCGTGTTCTTGTGCCCCCAGCCATGTCTTCCACGGGTGGAAACCCGGTCCATTCCTAGACAAGCGACAGCGGCGCTGTCTGCGTCGTACCCTTCCTGAAGGCGTCGCTATGGAAATTCGTCTCGGCCATGATGTCTCCTTCGGCGGATGTCCTCTGCCTCTTCGGCGCCCGGTTGACGCGAGACGACGAGTTCTGCTTCGGGAAGTCGGAGCTGCTGCATCAGGGGATGTAGCTCGGCAACGATGACGCGGGTCGAACCCTCCTTCTCCGACGGCTGGATTTCAGCTTTAGAGGCTCGGCAATCGCCGTGGGCGGGGCGTGGGATCAAGGCAGGAAGTCGGAGCTGGTCTTCGTGGAGCCGTTGAGCTCGGCAACGATGACCTGTTGCAGCCTCCTGCTTCGGGCCCGTTGGTCTCAAATCTTAGGATGGGTCGTCGGTGTTTGCCTTGGGAAGTCGGAGCTGCTGGCTGCTTTGCAACCACGCTCGGCAACGATGACTCATGGTAGTGTGTACTCTACCGCGTTGCGTGGGTGGGCTAACCTTTCGCGGTGTTTGGCATCACGCTTGGTTACCTATGCTTGTATATAAACTTCATTCGTCTTAATTGAAAGGCAGAGCTCCTACCATTGTTTCAAAAAAAAACATGTTGCTGTGTTTTTGTACTAATATCTAGTCAATCTGAGTTTGATATAGCTGGTAACCAGATTTACTACTGTTTTCTCGACATTTTGTTTTTTGTGATTTTGATTAGTTACATTTGCTGAGACTTTAGAAGATCCTTTGAAATATGTGAGCATTATTTGTATGCCCTTGTTTTCTCTGAAATAGGAGGGAGGTTTAACTCAAGGAACAACTCTGGTGGTGATGGACAAGGACGTGGGCATGGTCGAGGTAACTATGGTAATGACGATAATAGATGTGGTGGCAACAGTGGAGGATTGACCAGTAACATTGGCAGCAGCCGAGGCAGACTGGGTGCAGGCGGCAATAGTGGCTCCTCCTTGGGCGGTGTTGGTACTGGCGGAGGATCTGGAGGCAGGAATGCTGCTGGATAGGGTGAAGCTGATGGTGGAGGCGGCTGGGGATCAGCTCCAAGTCCTGCTGATGTTGCTGGTGTAGTGGTGTGGGGTGGCGTTAGTGTAGGAGGCTGGGGGGCCAGGTGGTGGTGGCTCTAACGACTCAGGAATTCAGGTCGCGGTGGCGTTTGTGTACATATTGATACTGTTGGTATGGGAGAAAACTGCCACTTATCTGTAACTTGCTAGCCTTGTAGTTGTACCTGCTCATGTTGCATCTTTGGACGACGGCCTTATATAATGTACGTATGTACATTATGGCTATATCTTGTTACAGCGTCCTGCGAATTTGATCCTCTGGTCCCGTTGTGAAACACTGAAACTTTTCGGTTTTTTTAGGGCTTATTTAATCTCCGTCCGTTGTGCTCGAGCGGTCCTGGTTGCATGCATCTTGCATGCATTCTGGCATCTGTAGCATCGTGTGAACCGTGGCCTGATCACACGAGCAAGTGAGTAGCCTAGAGCCCTAGATGCCAAGTTCCACACTTAACGCGCGATAGTGAAATGGTTGGACCAGACTGTTTCCAGTGCTAGGTCCTAACCTCCCAGAGGTGTCCACTCTTGACTCTTGAGAGGCCTTTGCATTCGTAGCAACGTACTTAGTTTGCTCGTTTTTTACTCAAAAAAAAAACAAAATACTTGGTTTGCTCGTGGTACTGTTACTGTATTTGTTGAGTGGGGAATGTTCTTGCAATTTTTCTGTGATTCTTAGGCAAGCAGTGTGGCATAAAAAATCTAACTTTTTTGCAAGAGTATTTAGTGATGGAGTAGCTACACCATGTACAACATACATGGTAGGCACGTCAGACGTCCTGTGTACATGTCACTGTAAAGAGCTAAATCCTTTCTTTCAGAACTATAAACCCGTAGGGGTCCAACGACATGCAAAAAAGTAAAAAAAAAGTAAAATCCCTAGACGGAGAGTCCTGAAACTATGATGTTTCAGTGCTGATTGACACTCTTAGTTTGACAGGGCAAGAGCAACCTGCGATGGTCATTGCAAGTTTCACACACACTGCACACGGTGACACACACCGTGTCCCATCAGACAAAAGTACTGTGCACTAGTGACTAATAGAAACGTTGGTAGTGACAGGCCACGTAGCTAGAGAAGCTAAAACAAGACTGCCAACTCCAATTTCTCTCTCTCTTTGTCTAGGAGAGACTCCCCGATGTCCAGAACTCCAGATCTGTCAAGTGTCAATAGGTCTAAGCATTTGGCTTGGCCACAATGGGTGTTTCGATTGGACTTTTCACCTTGTAATTTGTCAAAGCAAGCATATTACTTCTCCAAGCTACTCTGCAGAGGTACCTGCGCAAGATTTCGATGAGACTGAGGAAGGCCAGGAGCGACGGTAAGGGGTTACCGTCATCCATGGCCGCCGTTGATGACACGGCCAGCGAGAGGGCCGAGTACGTGGCCCGCGCCATCTCGTACTGCAAGGACACGCTCCGGCGCGGCACGTCGCGGTCGCCGTCCCCGCCGCCGCCTCCCTCGCCTAGCCTTGACGAGTGGCTCCAGGACAGACAGGAGGAGATCATCGAGGCCGCCGCCGTGCACTGCGACGAGTGCAGGGACTCGCGGCCCTCGCCGACGCGTCCTCGCCGGGCCGCCGGATGGCCCCTCGGGATGCAGACGATGGCGAAGCGATTCAAGGAGTCGCCGTGCCTGGCCTCGCCAAGCCGGGACAGTTCACTCGCCGCGTGCGCCGTCTCGCACAGCGAGGAGTCACTGCAACCGCATCACGGCCACGGTAGGTGTCTTTGCTACTGCTAGCCACACAGCATCCCATTCAATGCAACCCTGATGCACTGGCAACGTCTATCGTCTAATGCGTTGGCTCTCCATGCATTCGTGCAGGTTGCCGTGGCGAATCGTCAATGAGCAGTTTGGACGAGACGGAGTTTCTGAAGACATTCGATGGGGACTTGGAGATGATCAATCACCATTTCATCACTGTGGAGATCTGAAGAAGCGGCTCTCAAGTGTTCAGCAAGCAGAGTCCGCCGGATATGAAAAGGAAGCGATTAGATATGATAAGAAAATTCGTGACACCTTAGTATAACCAACACTGAACGTATTCCAGCTTCCAGGAGCTAGAGAATTAATCAGCTTAGTCTCTGATTGGCAAAGCTCTAGCTCTAGGTAATCTGTGGATTTTTTTAGAGCTTGTCACTTGTAACTCTAGAAAATCATGGATCTAAAGCTACATGCATGTTAAGTGCAGTCATATGACTTATTTTGTTTATATTTTATATTATAAAAATATATAAACCACTTTAATTTAATCTACAAACAACAGATCCAACATAGATTTTAGAGCTAGAGTTGTGTCAAATAGGCCTTAGGCCTTGTTTAGATTAGGGTTAGGAATCAGTATTTGACACTGTAACACTTTCGTTTGTATTTAACAATTATTGTCCAATTATGGCCTAAATAGGCTCAAAAGATTCGTCTCGTAATTTACAATCAAACTGTGTAATTAGTTATTTTTTTATCTACATTTAATATTCCATGCATGTGTCCAAAAATTTGATGTGATGGAGAGAAAGTAAAAAAACTTGCAATCTAAACAAGGCCTTATTAAGTTGTTTTTCCATCAATTTAGCAAAGCCTAAGGATGCTAGAGCTGGTCTAGCTTCAAAATTTCTTGGAGCTAGAGCTATGGGACACCCAAGATATTCATTAAGCATTTTGAATAAATTTGATTAAACACTTACTTTATTAACACATCAAATCATGCACGGATTTTTGGGTGGACGAATGCCAAATTAACTCGGCCTCAATATAGCAAGCATTTGATGTCACTATACTGTAGGTTATTAATTAATACCTTTTTATTAACAAAAATCTTGAAGACAATTTCTCTAGTTATTGGAGTATATTTAAATTCATTTGTTGCAATGTTTTTATTGAAGCACCGCATAATCCATATGTCATGTGTCCAGCTCAAGCTTCTTGCTCCTTAAGCATTTCATTCCTAGATTTCGAATTGAAAGTGCCACACAACTAGCAACTAAATCCCTACCTCACCCAATGCAACCTCATATCCTAATAAGGGCATAGAGCTAACTTTATAGAATGCCATATCATCCACGGAGCTCTATGTCTTCCCCTAAGTGGATCCTACAACACAACAACAATAAGAACTTGTTTGGTATGGTTTTCCCTCAAGTGCTCCTCAAGAGGAGTCAGAGCACTTGTGGAGGCGCCACAAATTGCAACTCCTCTTCCAGACCCAAAAATAATTCTGGCTTCTCTACTGTTCAACAGAAAACGGCTCCTCCTCCTAAACTGTTTTATATGGCTCCTCCAGAGTTGTCGGAGTCGGAGCTGGAGTCATACTAAACAGGCCCTAAAAGAAAACAAATTGCACTGCATCATCTTTGACCGGTTCCTCACTCTATTCTCTATGTGTGTTGATGGTGACAACATAGAGAGTGGGCCTGTTTATTTTTTTCATTCAGATAGACCTGGAATCTCAACTTGATTCGATGCTAGGAATCTTTTCTTAGCTTCTTTGTGGTGCAACATTTAGATCCGAGCCTTATTAGAGTTTCCTAAGGTACATCTCTTTGTAGATTTAGGTTTTGATGATCCTTGTTCATCTAGGTTTTGGTTTCTTGCATTATCAACGAGGAGGTGACGATGATGGTGCATTGAAATAAGGTTTATGCGACCTCTCTCTACCTTAATGGCATTCGATCTGGCGTCGGTGAATGGCCAATGAGAGTTTGATTTGTCATACCTGTTAGGTCCTCTTCATATCTTGGCAGATAATTTAACCACGCCGATATGGAAGATAGTTACATAAGAAGGCAACTGTTGCCATGGATTTGGAAGGACTCGAAGTAGCCTTCCAGTTCCAGATCACCGGATGCTTGTTTTTTAGGTAGGCAAGGAGGCATCTAGGAGGGGACGCCGCCGTGATCGATCCCTGCATGTATATATATAAGAGATGCCGCGCCACGCTAAAACCCAAATGATCGTCGTGCCTAGCATTCGCCGGCCGCCATGGCCATGCAGCTGCTGATTTTTTTTAAATAATATTTTTAATGAATAATTGTAAATCTAGAAGCCGTTATACAAAATGTATAGATATAGCATCATGTCGGTCACTAGGAAACCGATAGGGACATTGTCGGCCTCTAGAAGGCCAACAGGTCCCATGTCGGCACCTCAGCAGACGATAGGGGTGACATGGCAGCCGGCGCTGGCCTATCGGTGCTGATAGCAAACTTGTCAGCAGCTGGAAGGCCGACAGGCCCTATCGGCTTTGGGGAGGCCGACAGGCCTGTCGGCTCTCTAGCGGCCGACAGGCCTATCACCCAATTATACTATTTCATGCTTTATGACCCGATATGATCTCTTTTCCGAACAAAACCATCACCCGATAGAAAACTAACTTCATCACTGCAGCACTAAAAACATTTGCTCTCCTTTTCCGGACATATAAACATACGCACCATAACCTAAGGAACCTTACAATTTTTTTGAAGGCAAACACGTTCTAATATTAACCCAGCGCGGTACATGGACCAAACCTGCAATACTAAATGGCATGTGTGGAACTATAGGTAGGTAAGGTAAGTAGTCCCACCACTAATCCTAACATGCCTTAGGGAAAGTAAACAAAGCACGACTTGCAATAGCATGTGTGGAACTCTATACTTATAATGTTCAGAGATCCACCACTAGTCCTAACATGCCTTAGGGAATTTAACTTGCTGGGTCTATTACATTGTTCTACTGGGTGCAGCGTGGTTGTTTCCCTTTTATGTCACGCCCTGAAGATGGTTCCGCTGCATCCTTCTTGTTCTTGAGAGCTGCTTCCTGGATTTTGAGCTCTTGCTCCTGACGCTTGATGGCTGCTTCATGCATACTTAACTGCTCCCTCCTCCTAGCAAGGTCATCATCCTTCCCCTTCAGATGGATTTGGTCGACCCTAATGCACTGCTCTTGCTCCTCCCTAATTTTGTGGACCATCTCGCGCTCCTGAGTCATCTTCATGTAGTATTGGCCTTTTGTTTCCATCTCCTGTGGGAGATTTCCTGGCCATGCTAGAAACTTCTAATCCACCCATTGAACCCACTTGCAAGGCTACAAAGCTAGACGACGGTGACATGAAAACGCACTGAAAAGCATACAAAGCTAGACGTCGCAAGAGTTTCGAGGTGGCGAATGTGGATTCAGTACGGTTCTTGTTGTGTTGATGTGAGTACTCGCTGCAAAGCCTAAATAACGATGAAGTGACAACTCACTGCAAAGGCTACGTCCATATACGTGTACTGCGATTCCTTCGTTGAAGTGACGGTACCTGAAAAACGTATGAACCTGCAATGCATTGGTCGTTTGTCTGCTGAATTGTCCTTTGCCTCGATGCAAGCGTCGGAAGTTATTGGAGAGTGGCCTCCACAAAATGGTTGTAAAGCGACTAATACGGTTGGAGGTATCAGAAATCCAGGAGTACATTTGTTCACATCCATGCAACCATACAACCATACAACTAATACAGGTCAATCAGCACGACGCCCACGTTTGACGGCATGTGCTCCTCAGTGACGAATCTGCGTCGTAGGTGTCGGCCCCTCAATTTGAGAGTCCTAGGTGCATCTGTATTTGTGCCAGGATCACGCACAAAACCCAAAAATGGTACACAGATATATAATAAAAGGTTCTGAGCTTTATTGATATCTTGAAATAAGGTCTTACAATTATGGCCCAAGGGGTATAGTCTTAGGCCACATATCTAGCGGAAGACTATAGCCATGATACAACTTTATTGGTGGTCTCTAGAGCGGGATTATTATATAGCAAAGCGGTGTCCTATTCCACAGGCAACTTGAGCGCGGTCGAAACCCTAGCCTTGATGTCATACTCCTATGAACGAATCTCCTAGTGGGAACTCTAATCCTCGTGGTACGCTTCTTCGTCAAAGTCATAGTCTTTTTCTGTGCCGAGATCTATGAGTCAACAACGGGTGAGTACTTACGTACTCAGCAAGCCCTAACCATAGGGTGGAAATAGAAGTGTAGTGGTGATTATAATTAAGGGTGGGGTCGTAGCGGAGCATTACCATTCCCACTAGTACCCGGATTAGCATCGATTCCATTACCAGTTTCATTACATATAAAAAGTAAAACTAATCATAGTATCTTATCCTAGCATTTGCCCATTCCAAGGATGTGGCTATTCGAATAGATTCAAGTAAACTCTGCAGAGGTGTATAAATTTTCCCACACGATAGGTGCAACCTCATCCAAGATCAGTGGACGAAATAGACCTAACAAGACCTTGTACCCGAATGTACGTGACCTTACACGTCCATATAACTCTACTACGGCTTCTTAGGGGTTGGAAACACAAAACCGGGAGGATACCAAATCATCACAAAAGAAAACATGGCTCGAACACGGCCAAGAAGAACAAGAGCTCGAACGCGGCCAAAAACCAAAAGCTTAACGTGGAAGATAACATAGCATCCACGCCAACCGGACCACGGAAGAAAACCTATCCCTGTGTCGGCTCCTGATATTCCGTTGCCTACACCGGCCTCCTAGTAGAAGTTATACTTCTATCGGGGTGTGAGATCAAGCCTACCCATATAGAGATGTGGATGTATGAAGTAACTCACTAGGCGAGAGGGACTATGAACCGGTCCTTATGTGACCAAGGCGAGTATCTCCCACGGAAATCCTTTTCAGGCATCCCTGCCATGGTAAACTACCTCCAGTTTACCACCACTCGCCCCATATCGGGATTTAGTTTTAGGTTTAAAAAGTTTAAAATTCCATTATTATCCCTAAATCTAGTCACCATGTGGAGCTCATAACAAGTTAACCATTTATCTAAAGCATATCACATTAACCGAGCTCATATTCTAGAGTAATAATCTTATAGTCATGTTTTAGCATTATAGTGGTTTAAAGCAAGATGGTAGAGAGGGGAGCTAGGACTTGCTTTCATCGTT